CCTCTGGGGCCACCTTTCTGCTCCAAACCCCTGCACGCGAGTCTTGGAGCCCACCTGAGTGAGACAGCGTAGTACAGGCCCATGGCTGCGGCAGCCTCCCTGAACACAAATACTCCGAAGACTCCAATTAGGAGCTGCTGGGGAGCAAGCGGCATGACCTCACAGGACCTCTGCAACCTCACATTGGGCATCTTTACAGATAAGGAAACCGAGGCACCCAGGCCTGGCAGTGCACGGGGGCAACCCCACACTCAGGAGGCTGAGGCGGGAGGCTCACTGCAAGTTCCAAGGCCATCCTGAACTACATATTGAGACCCTGACTCAGAAAAACATCAAAGCCAGGCGTGGTGGCACACACCTGCAATCCCAGCACTAGGGAGGCTGAGGCAGGAGGATTGTTGTGAGTTCGAGACCAGCCTGGGCTACAAAGTGAGTTCAAGGCCAGCCTGAATTGTATAGGGAGACCCTGACTCAAAAAGACAAAAAAAAAAGAAAAGAAAGAAAAGAGAAACATCAAAAACAGATTCAGAGACTGAGGTAGAGAGGGGCTGAAAGGAAGGGGCGGTCACACCCTCTGCAACAGGCGTCCTCCGGCCCTAACCCATGCTGCCTTCCTCTCCATCTTCAGGTGGGAACGACCCCCCTGGGTCCCAGTGCTTCTTTTCTCTGGCTCTGGAGGAAATGCACCCTTACTACAGTTCACACTGTGAGGAGCAGCAAGGCGCACAGTGACAGGTAGAGGAGCCCAGGGCCCAGGAGAATGAGCCCTCACCTGCAGAGCAGGAGAGACACCCCCACAGCTCGCACAGCCCCTGGCCTGCAGTGCAGCCTCAGAGCTGGGGGTCTGCTCCTCACACCCACAGTCCTGGGGCACACAGGGTATGTGGCTTCCCGTCTGCCTGGACACATCCAAGCTCATCAGCAGGGTCCCTTTGTGGCCTCTTCTCCTCAGGTCATCTGGTGGGTGACCCCATTATTTCTGTGCGTCTCATCGGGGCAAAGCCTGACTATCCTCCCCTCAGGAGAATGTCTTAAGGTTTGCCTTCGCCAAATACAACACACATGTCTGGTCTGCCCCAGCCAAAACTCTCCCTGTTCTCAGAACCTGCCTGATCCAGTCGCTCGCAGTTACACAGCCTTCTCTCTACCTTCGCCTTGGACTCTACTGTGTCTCCCTGATGATGCATGTCCGCAGTTCCAGGGCAGCAACCATGCTTCCCGTGGCACATCTGTGGGCGCCAGAGCGAGGCAGGGACCCAGACACACAAAGGACACAACTGCCAGCTGCCGAGATTGTATCTTGAAGCCCTCAGGCTTTATTACATCCTCAGATCACAGACACCCAGAACTGAAAAGAACTTTGTCTTGTAGTCTCACGCCCCCATCTGGACAAGATTTCCCTCCAGATGGCCACAGAGGCAGGCAGCCTGCTCTCTTCCCATCCCCTTTCATGAAAAACACTGTGGAGAGGGCCATCAACAGAGTCCAGTGCAGAGACAGAGCATCAGTCATTGCCCTGTAAACTGAAGGCCCAGGCGCGTCTCCACGAGAGCTCCACATGGTCTGCCCTGCCCGTTCCCTTGCTTTATAATCTTCTTTGGGAGGGAGAGGAGCTGAGGATGGAACCTAGGACCTCACACATGCTAGCAAGCTCTCTGCCATTGAATACATCCCCAGCCACTGCTTTGTAATGTTCTTTTTTTTTTTGGAGAGGGGAATCCAAAGTCTTTTACACTGAGCTGCATGCTCAGCCTGTCTTTCTTTCTTTCTTTCTTTCTCTAAGACAGGGTCTCACTAAGTCACTAAGTTGCCTAGGCTGGGCTCAAACTTATCATCCAACTGCCTCAGCCTCCTAGAATGCTGGGATATCACACATGCACTCAACCACCCAACTCAGTACCTTCGAATCTTAAGCAAGTTATTTTGCTTCATCAAATCTCAAGTTTTTCATTTGTAAATGGGATAACAACTCCAACTTCGAGCACTGTTGTGCAGAGTTAGCAAGTTAAGCGCAGTGAACACATCTGGCCAACAGGCACTCAGTAGGCACAAGCTGGTGTGAAGGAGGGAGTTACAGCGGACGCTGGCCTGGCTGGAATGAGGCCTGAGCTCCTAGGGCAGCATGGTGGGGACGAATACGGAGCAGGGCATTGAGGGCAGAACATCAGGACTCAGAGAAGAGTGGAGAGTGCTCAGGGAGGATCTTTGGGGAGGAAAATGGAGTCTCTGGCTGGACTCCAAAGCACAAATTGAAATGTTAGCAAGCACAGAGGGGAGAGGGCCAGGCGAACCACCTAGCAGGATGTGCAATGTGACTCGAGGGTAACCGGGAGCCCCTTGGGGTTTGTGAGAAGTACAGTAATAGGATCTCAGCAGCAGGTCCTAAGAAAGAGTTCTGCTGCCTTGTGAGGTTAGCCTAGAAGCCAAAGTGCAGGCCAAGAGACAGCAACTGGGTCAGTGGTGATGTCTAGGATTTTTGAGCTTATTATTTCTTATGGTTTTTAAAAATCTTGTTCTGTTTCATCCTGGATCCTCAGCAGGCCTATCCAGCCGTCACAGGGACAGCTGGTCTATGGAATCGCCCATCTCCTATTATACCAGAGAACCAACCCTCACTCCTCATTCATTCATTCATTCATTCATTCCTCATGAATGCATCTTGCACCAAGCAGCAACAACCACTGACTTGACAAAGCTCTGGAAGCATTTGAAAATGAGTAAGACATGGCTACCACTTTTAAAAGGTTTACGTATTTCTGGGATAAACAGATTAAAAAATAACTTTTACACTCGACAGACTCTAAGTACCACAGAAAGGAGTGAACAAAATTCTGTACCAGGGGTTGAAAACAAAGCAAATCAGGCTGCATTTGGCCAGCAAATGTTTTGTTTGGCCCACATGGTGTTTTACTTTACTTCTTCCAATTGGGTGCTAATATTTAAAAATTAGGACATTTCACATTTAAAAACCCAGATTCCTAGCTTCTGGTAGAAACAGGAAGATCCTGGAACACCAGGCCAAATTCCTGCTCGGTGGTGCTTGGCAGGAGGGAGCAGCAGCTGCCCTTCAGGCAGTGCAGGAGCACTCTAGTTTGTGGAGCTCGGTCTCTGCCACTCCTAATGCTCTCTGAAGCCATTTCACCGGCTTGTGCTCTGGGCACGTCTAAGACAGAGTGAAAGGGGAAAGAACTCCCACTGAAGGGGCTGGGGATTTAGCTCAGCGGCAAAGCGCCTGCCTGGCAAGTGCAAGATTGTAAGTTCGATTCCCGGTACCAGAAAAAAAACAACAAAAGAAAGAACTGCTCAGTCTCCATCAGCAGAGATGGGGGCTGGGAGATGGCTCAAGGCCCTGGGCCTAGCACTGCAAACAAGTTTTTAAAATTTAAAATAAGAAATGTAAGTAGAAATTAAGGAGACACTTGTAAGGCTACATGTTTCAAGAACGGGTACAGAAGAATATCCCTGGAGAAAAGAGAATTCCCTGTGGAAGTAAATTCCCTACCAAAAGTACTGGGGTTGGAACCCAGGGCCTTGGCAGTGAGCCACCACCTAGTCCTCTTTTATTTTTGAGATAGAGTCTCCCTGACCTGCCCCGCTCCTACAGCCGTTTGTTTGTCGCCTGTGTGACACAGGGAGAGGGGAGGATTTAACGTAGTGGCTGATACCACTGGCTCTGGGATGAGGAAGGCTTCAGCTTCAAAGCTGGCTCTATCACTTAATGTGTGACCTTGACACACTGTGCACCCTCTCTGTGCCTCAGCTCTCTCTTCTTTAAAATAGAGGTAACTGCAGCAGAGGGCTGCTGGGAGAGACAGTAAGATAAAGGATATGGAGTTCTCAGCCAGGGCTGGGCTCATAGCATTAGCTACTCCCAGCGCAGAGCACAAGAGACCGCAACTGTGTGCAGAGGGGGCCTTACACGGTGTTTAGGGTCTCAATGTGGGATCAGGGAAGAAGACAGGCTTTGCACAAAGCATCAGAAAAGACAAAGCGTGAATGGCAAGTATCCTGCCCTGTGGCCAAAGCAGACTTCACAGTGAAGCTGGAAAGATCACCTAGGAAGCTGAAAGTGAGAACAATCCAGTAAGTCAGCATTTCCCCGAAGGCGCACCGCTGCACGATAGACGTGGGTGATACAAATGAAACAGGACATTAAATAATACTGAATCATAAGATGAAAAAGTCATGCTCTTTCTATTCTTTATGCAACTTTGTAATTAGTAGAAAATCTTGACTTCATGTCCACCTTAAGCATCCCCATCTTTGGGAATCTCCGGTTTGGGAGATGTAAAGACTTCCTAGCAATAGCATCTAGCCACAACTTAGTGACATCCTTTTCTTTCTCCTTGCTTTAAGTTTTACACCTACCTTACACCTACAGCAAGCGATATGGATGTTTCACACTTGGAGTAGTTAAGTTTCCGTGCAAAATATGAAATCATATTTATTCAAACGAAAATAAGTAAGACAACGTAGAGAACGCTGAATAAACAACAGTACGGGTGCACACGGATGGGGCAAGCAAACCCTGTGAAGAGGGAACACGGTGGAGCGGAGAGAGGCGCCCGGGATGGATTCCCGGGCAAAAGAGCCAAGCCGGGTAGTGATTACGCGTGATCCAGCTTGCGCACACCCTTGGGGTCCCCTTGCCCCCCTCCCGGCCTCAGTTTCCCCACCTCCGTGGCTCCCTGCTGGGGATGCTGGGCCTTTAGCCTAGGCCGCAGGCCCGTTGCCATTGGCAACCGAGAGGACTCCCGCCATCCCCTCCCGGGCTCGGCCTCTCTCTCCCACTTCTCCTCCCGAGCCGCCCCATTCCTCACCACTGCTCCACTTTATCTCTCCACGTCAGCACAGCCCTCATCGCGGCTTCCGCTACGCTTGAGCCTCCTCCTTCCCGCCTCAGCAACAGACACTACGGCGAGAGCCACTTTGGTTACCTGAGCTACCCCTGGCAACGCACATGCGCAGTGAGGCACGCGCGAGAACGCAATAGCTCAGTGCGCACGTCCAAAAGGGAGAAGGCGCTAAGGAGCAAACGCGCCCAGCGAACGGGAGCCCAGAAGGCCAAAGCGCAATTCCGACGTGCTTGATTGGTCAGGAAGAGGTGGGGCGGTGTTGGGGGGGGGCCTCTTTCCGACGAAAGATTTGATTGGCGGAGCCAGGGAAATGGCGGCAGTGGGTGAGGGGGTGGCAGTGAGGGGTCTTCCTTGTCTTCAGGCGTGGAATTCAGTCCAGCGCTCTGAACTGAGGTTTTCCCCTTCTCCCGTCCTCCTTGCTCAAGGCGCTGCCTCTGTCCTCCCGCTGCTGCGGCCGGACCCCGCCGGAGGCCGCCTTTTGCATGGCGAGGCCGAGCCCCGGGGGCGGCGGAGAGGTCCCGTCCGAGCGCCGAGCCTCAGCGCCGCTGCGTGACCTCTGGCAAGTTGTTGGTCCTCGAGCCTCAGGGTCCCCACTTGGAAAGAAGAGCGGGGTGGATGGCGGGGCGGGGGCTTCGTTCCCCAAGCCAGGGAGGCGCTTAGTGTGTTGTGCACGGTGGGGGTCCGCAGCCAGGGGCGTCCCGGAAACGGGTCGTGCCGGGTACCAGTGTGTGTGTGTCAGATGAGGGATAATTTACGTATTTTTTCACAATTTAATCCTCAAGAGAAAATACTTTGAAAGAAGTATTAAGTGCTTTTTACAGATCCGCAAACGCAACTTTGAGCGCCTCAGTAAGTTGGTCTTGGACGCACAGCTTGTAAAGGGCAGAGCTGGGATCTGAGCCGGATCTGTTATAAAAGTGTGCGCTGATTTCAGCAGGTTCAGTTCTCCTTATCTCTGGGTAAACGGTATCATTCATAAGTTCCACACAGCTCTCCCCAATTTGAAACTCCCAAGTCCCATGAGAAAACCGTGATTCTGATTCTTGTCAGTCAATTTCTTGCTTAGTTGCGTCTCTTACTCGTAGAAAAGAAGCTGGGTTAGATGATTAAGATACACCTTCCTGAAGGTTTTCAGTAACAGCCAGGCAAAAAGTGTGAGACCAAGATTTGGTAGAGCTGGGTTCTGGTTATCGGTTCTCCAACTAACTTAAACTCTTGGTCCCTCAGTCTTCTTAATAAAATAAGAATAAATCGTATCCTACCTACCTCACAAGGTTATGAGGCAGCAGAATGAAGGAGCTTTGAAAATCCTTGGCAGAAATTATTTACCTTTTGGATAGTTACAGGATTTGATGAAGGTGATAGACACTCTCAAAAAAAAATGTGTGGGCCAGTGATATAGCTCAGCGGCGCAAGTGCCTGCCTGGCAAGCACAAGGTCCTGAGTTCGATTCCCCGTACCAAAAAAAAAAAAGTGTAATTTTCACCTCACCTATTTGCAGAAAGGGGTTGACTCCCTGACTCCTTAAACTGTTCTTGATCTCAGGTCAAGAGCTGAACTGCTAGTTCATAGCCTGAAATGTAGCCCAAATAGCACCAGAAATTTTTATGGTAGCCCTATTTGATGATTAACTCAAAAAGTTTCTTGCAAGTAGCTTCAGCTTTTTTGTTGTGCAGAGATTTCCAACACTTTTTAACACTTGTTAGAGGTCAAGTAGCTGTTAAGAACAGAAAAATTATGTCATATCACAGAACACTGGTTCATACTGGCTGCAGTCTCCTCGATTTTGATCAAGTGTTCCATGTGGTTGCTGCACTGCCGAGAACAAAATTGAATAAGCAAAAGAAAGTAAATTTTTAATGAGTGAATCACTTGTGGTTTTTGTTCCCAGTGAGGAAGATGTCGGTACAAGTGTGGGAAAAGATGAAAAACAAATGGTGACAAGTGGAAGCAGAGAGTGTAATGCTCTGCTACAGGAACCCATTGCTTCCACTCAGTGTGCTGTTGCTGCAGTGACAGAATGTCACAAGCCTGTCCTCTGTGGATGGGAGAGGATTGTGAAGCAAAGGTTATCTGGGAAAACAGCAGGAAGATTTGATGTGTATTTTATCAGGTAAGCATGCAAGGTGGAAAATACAGTGCAACCAGATAATTCGGTCTAGAGAGGTAGTGGGAACGCATAGCGAGAAATCGTATCTTATTTCTTGTTTTTACCGTAGAACTATCACAGATTCTTCTGTTCCTTCAGGGTTTGTTACTGATTAATTATATCAAGTGATTTGGAGACAATTACATATATTTTGTCGCTCCTACTGTGAATGTTTAATGATACAATTGCACTTAAGTTATATGAATAAATTTAGTTTATACTGTCATAGAGAAAACCATTTAAAAGTACTCTGTTTTGTTTTCAAATAACAAATGCCTGTGGCAGCATTTGGAAATTATTAATTAGAAATCTGAAACTGATCCAATTCTTGTTAAAAATCACTGCTATTTACTAGCAATAAGTTTCCTTTAATATCATTTTCTAGCCCACAGGGACTGAAGTTCAGATCTAAAAGTTCAGTTGCTAATTATCTTCGCAAAAATGGAGACACAGCTCTGCAGCCAGAAGATTTTGATTTTACTGTTCTTTCTAAAAGGAACATCAAGTCAAGATGTAAGGGCCCCAGCGTGCCCGCTCTGACAGACCAACAGCAAAACAACACTAACATTTCAAGCCGGAACCTCCGGACTCGAAGCAGGCGGAAAACAGATGTTTCTCCTCTACCAAATAGCACTTCAGAGTTGCAAGATAGCAGAGGACCATCTAACCTTGATTCCTTCCATGTGCTTTTGAGAGAAGAAGAGAATGTTAATGACGTTAGCTCTGGGAAGGTTAGGAAATTCAAGGGAAAAGTGACTGTTTTGAAAGGAATTCGAATTAAGAAAACCAAAAAACAGTGCAGCAATCGTCTTTCAGATTCTGCCCAAACTAATGCAAAAAGAGAATCTGTGTTTAATAAAGCAGAGGCTGAAAGGGCATCTGTTTCACAAGGAAGTCAACTTGATAGAACTTTCTGCGTTTCTAATGACACCACAACCCACGGTACCTTCCATGTGACCGAGGAGGAAAAGAGCCTCATAAAAGAAAAGTCATTGCACCCAGGATCAGATTTTCATTTTGAACAAATAACATCTGGTATCACAAACAAATCATGTCCAACCACAGAAGGGGAACCCAAGAAGTATGAGGAGACCGTTTTAGAATCAGAGGAAATCAGAACAAAAGTAGAAGATGCGGAAAGAAAGGAACATTTGCATACTGACATTTTGCAGTGTGGCTCTGAAGTGGACAACAGCTGCTCACAAAGCAGGAAAGACTTGACTTCTGAGAAAATGCATCCAGGTATTAGACACATCGAAGTGCTAGTAAACATGTAGTGAAGAGCTTCATTCCCAGACCTTGTATTTCATGCCCGTACATGGTTAAATGTGAGAGTTGGCTGAAGAAATAGGGCCAGGTATCAGATGTAGTCACCCAGTTGGCCCTAACACCTAGCTGACCTGTGAACTTTCCCACTGGTAATCAACCTTCTCCCTGTGACTGACAGGGAATCCACTGGCTACAGCCGAAAAGAGCCTTGTGCCGGTGGCCGCTCCTGCTGTCTCAGGGACAGTAGCCAGGCTCCTCAGCAGCACCGCTTTGCTTCCCCACTCTCTCCAGCAGTAATTTAAGACTTCCAGGAAGCCAGACATAGTCTTGCAGCACTCAGGGAGACTGAGGTAGGAGGGCTACAGGTTCAAGCCCAGCCCAGGTAATTTAGTGACTTGGTGAGATCTTGTCTCAGGATAAAAACATAAAAATAAAAAAATGGCTGGGGATTTAGCTCAGTGCAGAGGCCCTGGGTTCAATCCCTAGTACTGTTTATAAAAAAAAAAGCCAGGCAGGCATGGTAGTGCATGCCTATAATCTCAGCACTTGGGAGGCTGAGACAAGAGGATTGCTATGAGTTAGAGGCCAGCCTGAATTACAGAGTGAGAACCTGCCTCAAAAAATAAAAAACAAAAAAACAAAAACAGGAAAAAAAAATATGTGAAGGAAAATCAAAAAGCTTGTGAAAAATTTGGGGAAATTTCCTCATATATAAACTGAGAATACTCACAACACTTCTGTTATTACAGTTCATGTGATTTCCAATTTAATTTCATATATATCACAGTTGTTTTTATCTTCTGTTATAATGTAATGCTTCTCTAAAAGGCCTAAAAGCTCTAAATAATTCAAAAGTGTAATCATGCAGTTCATCAATTATTTGTACTATGCTCTTAATACAGAGTTTAGCACATAGCAGCTTTGCTGTTCTAATACCTCAGTGAATAATAGATAAAAAGGAGATCTTTTGAGCACCCTGTATTATTCATTATGCCACTGTGATATAATGAATAACTCTTAAATAAGGGTGACAGTTTTACTTAAAGTCCTTGTGGGGAAATAGAGTGGACAGAATGGTGGAGCACAAGGCTAGACTGACTCGATGTCTTCTCTGCCTGGACTGTTCTCTGCCTTTAGCAGAAAGTGGCCATGTTTGCTGAGGAGCTGTGGAGGAGTTCTTCAAGTCTGTCCTTGAGGTTGTTACAGAAAGCATTGAGGTTTATGTAGATTTATTGCTGATATAATGGGCAAATTAAATACTGAAACATCCTTTTGTAACCAAGATGGAAGTACCCTATTCATCCTATACTTATAGAAGTCTAGTTCTCAAAATGAAGTACCCTGGAGGCCAGGTGTGGTGGCACATGCCTGCAGTCCCAGGCTGAGTCAGGAGGATCATTGTGAATTAAGTCCAGCCTATACTACGTAGAGAGACCCTGCCTCAAACCCCGCCCCCCAAAAAAGATGAAATATCCTGCCAGGCTGGTATATATCACCTGTAATGTTAGCTACTGAGGAGGCAGAGGCAGGAGGATTTCAAGTTTGTCGCAAATTTCAGTCCAGGCTGGCCTTGAACCCCATTCTATCTTTGTGCCTCAGCCTCCAGAGTAGTGGGATTACAGGCATCCATTACCATGCCTGGATTTTCAACATGTAAAAAAATGTAAAGGGCTACAGACATAGCTTAGTGGTAGAGTGTTTACCTAGCAAAAAAAATGTAAAGGGCTAGAGACATAGCTTAGTGGTAGAGTGCTTACCTAGCATGTGCAAAGCCCTGAGTTCAATCCCCAGCATTGAAAAAAGAAGTATCCTTAGGTTATGAGGAATAGCAGTCTTTCCTATTGGCTTAGCTACTAATTACCAGGAAAACTAGTAATAAAGGAAGTTAGTTAATAATTGTGTATGGGAACCCTCAGAAAAGGTTAGCACATAACTAGTAAAACAGCTTCCTTTGTTCTCTGTCTTTACCTTCTCTTGGCTTTAACTGGCCAAACTGGAGCAGCAAAACACACTTGCCAACTTCTGTGGAGACCTGGCCGCCTGTCCCAGGGTCCAGTGAATCCCAGCATCACTGGAGACAGTTGCCTAATTTCTAACTTAGTTTTTCATCTGTAAGATGGAGGTGGTCTCCCTCACTAGTCCCGTTTCGCGTTAAGAATACTATAAGCCAAAACAAGAAGTGAAAGAGAGGACTTCAGGTGAGGGAGTGGAAGGGATTCTTAACTGACATTCAAATTCAGAGCTGTGGCTACCGGGCGTTCGTCAGACTGGACAAGTCCCAGTGTTGCTTCCCAGCAGGCACAAGGTACCAGTAGGCAGTGGTGTTCCAGGTCCAAATCTTAGGCTTTCCTGAAGGTTCTGTTTTGTTTGTATCCCTTTTTTGGTAAAATAAGTATTCACTGCAGAAATTTTAGGAAGTATGAAAAATAAGCTAGGCATGATGGCACACACCTGGAATCCTAGCACTTGGGAGGCTGAGGCAGGAGCATCACTGCAAGTTTGTGGCCAGCCTGGGCTACATAGTGAGTTCAAGGCCAGCCTGAACTACAGAGCAAGACCCTGTCTTAAAAAGACAAAAAAGAAAACAACAACAAAAAGCATGAAAAACTACCACTCACCAATAATCATACCATTTTGGTTTGTTTCATTCTTAATCTCTATGTGTGTGCACACATGTATGTGTACATGTTTATAAAATTAGGATTATATATAGAATATTTGTATCAGAATTAATGTCACAGGCACGTATTCATGATACAGTCTCAAAAATATCTTAATGACCACATTGTACAAGTATGCTATAATTTAAAATATTCCATACTATTTCCAAGTTGTTGATATTACAAACTCTCAACATAAAGCACAGAGAACAAGTAGATTATAATTTTGTGGATCAGGGCAGGGACTCTTGGGCCAGACTACCTGGACTTGCATTTTAGCTTTGTGACCTTCGGCAGTTTACTTATCTTCTCTGCCTCAGTCTCTTTTCTGTAAATTGGAGATAAAATAATAGGGCGCTCATAGGTCATTAGTAGGATGGGTCACTAATCTGCATAGGTGCTTAGAATAATGCCCTGCATGTATTAGAATAGCAGTTGGATTATTGTGGTGATTATCATCATTGCACCCCTGAGTGTTTCTTTAGGCTAAACCAGACATGCTACAATCTTCGACCTTCCCTTTCAGAGGACAGCAACCCTCAGACACACACAGAAAAGCGGAAGACAAGCCAGTACTTCACCAGCAAGTACAACAGAGGAGGTAACCTTTCTGGGCAGAAGGTGAGGCTGTGAGTCCGTTGTGCGTGCGCAGCTCTGAGGCGGTGTGTTTATTTAGCTCTTAGCCCTCCTCGACGCAAAGCCTTTAAGAAGTGGACCCCGCCTCGGTCACCTTTTAATCTCATCCAGGAGACGCTGTTCCATGACCCGTGGAAGCTCCTCATCGCGACAATATTTCTCAACCGGACCTCAGGTCTGTGGGTGATCCTCATCGGTGTGGTAACAGAGACGTGTGATAAAGAGAAAGAACCCTGTTTTCACTGAGGGTTCAAGGTCACTTTGAGTCTGTATGGCCTCAGCAAAGGCCTTCCTTCCCTCAGACTCTGTACCGGTGAGCCTGTTAGGCCAGGTGGCCTGCAGCAGCCCTTTCAGCATAAGGGGCACCTCACCAGTTGTCTCCTTCACGTTAGTATCAGTCTTCACTGAAGGTCAGTTAATTAATACTTCCCTGCACTCTGTGCTGTATAAGAGCATTTCCTTTTTCACTGAGTACCCTTCATATTGTGTGTGCTGCTTCCGTACTGGTCACCCAGTGGTCTGATTATTTGAGACTGTGCCATGCACGGCCAGTGTCTACAGTTTGAGCTGTAGCCAAGTGCAAGTGCTTGTGCTTGTGCTTGTGCTTGTGCTATGTGGGTCTCTTAACTCTGGAAGTGGCTGCTGGTTCAAATGGTGGCTTCTCCCCAGTGGCTAAACAAACCACGGTCTCAGTGGTTTGGGAGCCCCAGCCTGAGCGCAGCCCTGGGGAGTCTGCCATCCTGTGGCATTTGCACTTCCAGGTAAGATGGCGATCCCTGTGCTGTGGGAGTTCCTGGAGAAGTACCCCTCGGCGGAGGTGGCCAGAGCTGCAGACTGGAGAGATGTGTCCGAATTGCTGAAACCCATTGGCCTCTACGAGCTCCGAGCCAAAACCATTATCAAGTTTTCAGGTATGCTCCTGGTACCCGGGCAAGAACCAGCTGTTCTTAGTTCAAAGCGACACCCTTCCCTGTCATGTCCTCAGATGCTACCTTAACAGAGACGACACGGCTCACACACCAAAGGGGCATAACGGTAGCCAGCTTGTCCCGCTGTAGGTTCTCACTGGTCCGGGCAGCCAGTCCTGGCCAGCCAGGGGGCAGACTTGAGAAGAAAGCTGGGAGGTGAAAGCCCCGCCTTCAAGACTGTTAGCCCTGGGGAGCACAGCATAGACCCTTGTAGGAAGCGGTGGGGAGAGTGCCTGGAACTCAGAACAAGATACAGCCACAGACAAGGCCATGCGGAGGCGTCTTGGGTGCTTTCCTGTTGCTGAGATTAGGAACCAGACACCCACAGCTTGAGGAGGAGAGGAATATTTTGGCTGGATCTCAGGCTGTGGCCAGCTGGCCCCCAGGGAGAACGCAGGCTGTAGAGCTGCACAGGGCGCTGGGCACAGGCAGCAGAGAGGTGAGGGTGGAGCTGACGGAGTGGGCTCTGCCAGGCCACGCCCCCAGCGGGCCACCTCCTCCCACCAGGCTCCCCCTCCACAGCAGGCTAGCTCTGACCGCCCTAGTGGGCGGACCCAGGAGGGAGTCACCTCCCCAAGACCCCGCCTAGGACCACATGAGGCTTTGTGGGGACGTTGAAATATGAGCCATAGCAAAGGGCATCTTTCTGTCCCTTTCTCTCCATCCTACCCCATCACCCTGTGGAGGGCTGCCTCCTCCCTCTGCCAACCTCCCTGTGGGACACGTGTTCTCCAGATGAGTACCTGACCAAGCAGTGGAAGTACCCGATCGAGCTTCATGGAATCGGCAAATACGGCAACGACTCTTACCGCATTTTTTGCGTCAATGAGTGGAAGCAGGTAAGGCCCATGCCCAGCCGGGACGTTTCCAGCATGCTTGTCTGGGAGGCAAAAGAAGCTGCCATGTGACTAAAATGTACAGTTCTGCTCCCCGTTCAAGGGCAGTGGGCGGGGCTGGTACACTGCTCCTCAGCTGTGACTGCCTAAAGCATCCAGCCCAGAGGTTGGTCCTCCTTCCCAGAGCACCCGCTGACCTGAGTACCCCGCAGCCTCTCAGCACCTGACCTGTCACTGCAGAACCTCGGGTTATCCCTGCATGCCAGGGTCTGGTCAGCACTGAATTTCAAAGTGCTCTATAAACTGAGCAAAATTACCTCACTGTAAGAGATACTGTCAACATTCCCAAATCCTGCAGGGTTAGTACTCATTATATATTTCGGGTATGTGATCCTAGTAGCCTTCCCTGTCAAACCTTTCGCAAACCAGTTTTAGAAAGTGTATTTTTAAGCCAGGCGTGGTAGCGCACGCCTGTAATCCCAGCACTCGGGAGGCTGAGGCAGGAGGATTGCTGTGAGTTTGAGGCCAGCCTGGGTATAAAATGAGTTCAAGACCAGCCTGAACTGCATAATGAGACCCTGTCTCAAAAAAGATGAAGGAAGGAGGGAGAGAGGGAGGGAGGGAGAAGAAGGAAGGGAAGGAGGGAGGGAGGAAGGAAGGAGGGAAAGAGAAAGTGTTTTTAGCTGGCTGACCTCAGTCCTCTGACTACCGTATTTATTCTAGGTGCACCCTGAAGACCACAAGCTGAACAAGTACCACGACTGGCTTTGGGAAAACCATGAAAAGCTGAGTCTGTCCTGAAGCCTTTGCCGCCCCAGACTCTTCATTTTGTGCTTTGCTTTTTTTTTCCCCTGTGCTTTGCGTCTTGGTTTCTATGAGCTCCATGGAGCAAACCAGCCGCCTTCCCCCTGAGTCAGGTGTGAGGCTGGTGGCCGGGGAGTACTTCCTCAGCTCGTGTGCCCATGGTGCTGTGTTACTGAAGGCAGTAGAAGATTCTTTGAAATTTAAACAACAGTTCTAAAAATGTACATGACTTTTCTGATACTGAAATGGATGTAAAGGTAAAAGGCTTTTCTAAACTACCAGTAATGCAGAGCACATTTCTATCAGCCCTGGTAAAGATTAGACTTCCAGTTCTTTCTGTAGAAAATAGTATTACTGTATACAGGTGTTACATGAAGAATCACAGAATTTGCCATTTTTTATAGTTATTACAATATTTTAATTCAAATACTGAGAGACTTCCTTTAGAATCACAAACAAAATCCTAAATTACTAAGTCTTAATTACTGATCTCCATTTTAAAGTATAAAGTAAAATTAAAATTGTACCTCCCCAAGGCAGACATCCACTTCATAAGGACCCAACCCATTTTAATTTAACAAAATATATTCTTAAGCCATAGTGGTGCACACCTGTGATCCCAGCACTCAGGAGGCTGAGGCAGGAGGATTGCCATGAGTTTGAGGCCAGCCTGGATTACCTTGTGAGTTCAAAGCCAGCCTGAACTGCATAGCGAGACCCTGTCTCAAAAAAATTAAAAAAGTATGTTCTAGCACACTTAATAACCAAGACCTGTCCACAGCACATGTTAAGAAAACCCACGCTGGGCTTCTAAATGGACCACAGAAAATCTGTGCTGGTTTGCTTGTGGAGCTTATAAGAACAAGGTGCAGAGTAATCAAAGGTTTTATAGAGTGAATTAAATAAGAAAGCAATAAAATTTTTTTTTATAAAAAGCCTACTTCCAAAAAAATAGAATTGCTTTGGCATCTTGTGTCCTTGGCAGCTGTCCCCTCTCTCTTAGAAATTGTGGACTTGACACAGCACCCAGCTGAGCATGTGAGTATCTACCTCAGGCCCTCTACGTGGGTCTCTTACAGTGTTTTAGGCTGCTTATATTACAGGTTTTATGATATTCTAGGTCAAGCACTGAAACACTTACCTTAGAACTCACCAAAACAAAAAATCCTAAATAATTAAGTCCTCATTACCCATCACCATTTTAAAGTTTTGTTTGAAAATTAAATCATGTGCTGGGTGTGGTGGTGCACACCTGTAGTCCCAGCACTTGGGAGGCTAAAGCAGGAGGATCACTTCCAGTTTGAGGCCAGTGTGGGGTATATAGTGAGTTCAAGGCCAGTCTGAACTGCATAGACCCTGTCTCAAAGACGCAAACCTGAGTGAAGGAAAAATCAGTTTGCATGAGGCGAGTGAGGGCCCAGCAGCGGTTTCTTTTGGTGAGCAAGTGTTAGCTTCAAGAGAACAGGAAAGCTGGGCACAGTTGCCCTCCCTGCCTCTCCCCTGCCCAGGATAAACCCACTGCACACCCATTGCTTCATTCAGCAAGCATCCAAGTAGCATTTTGCACAGGGCAGGGTGCTGTGGGGAGCCCTGGAAGAACTCCCAGGTAAGGAGGGACAGGAGCACACGGGGAGGTGGATAAAGCAGACCCCTCCAAGGCAGCGGAGGGTACAGCTCCGTGTCAGGTGGAGTAGCCGCCCCATGCCAGTGTAGGGAGCAGGTGGCCCAGCAGGAGAGCTGCGTGAGCAGAGCTCAGATCCCAGGCTGGCGTGGCCCACGGGCCGCTCAGCTGCTGCGGGTGAGATTTAGAGCGCCGCCTGCCACCCGCTGTCGGGCTGGCCGCGCCGTCCCTCGCGTCGACACCGGCACCGCACTGAGGCGTGCGTGGATCCCGTCCGCTTCGTGAGTGCGGCGGGTCTGTGGGCCCCGTGAGGTGGCACCGGCACTGCCCCGGCCTTTCCTTTCGATCCTCAGCATTCACAGCGCACAGCAGAGCCCAGTCGCTGTTCCAGGGGCGGGTGCAGCGCGCGCCATGGTCTCACTACCACACATCTGCCTCACCCGAGAGGCCCCGCGCCCATTTGCTCGGCCCTGCAGTGGGGCTGACTTCTCTCCCAGGGCACCGCCTCCAAGGTCATTCCGAGTTGTGGGGGTCAGGACTGGATTCCTTCCTGTGACCCGGAGGGGACCTTTCAAGCTTCACAGTTCTGCACTTCCCACCTGAAGCGCCGTGTCTCTGTCCGGCCAGGGCGTGGGTGCCTACAGCCGCCACGGGGGCAGGGTCTGTCCTTTGCACGAGAAAACTGTGGTCTTCAGGATAGAGCTCTGCGGGATCTCAGGGTGCACACAAAACCATGATCTCCAAACTGGGATACCATCTCCAAGCTTCGAGCTCACTGTGCCGGGTCAAAGTGTCCTTACCGACGTCCCGCCTCCCGATACGGTGCCCGGCCAATCAGCGCGTGGCGTCCGTAGCCACGGCAACCAGCTGCTTCTGAGCTGCACGCGGCCGGGCTAGGAGTTAGGAGCTGAGTTCCAGGACCCTAGTTGTGCATGGGCACCTGCACCCGCCCGGGCCATGGACGAGTCCTGCGAAGTCTACAACCACCTGTACTCAGCGCTGCTCGGTGCGGAGCATCCTGAACAGGCGAGAGGGGACCCCGGGGCTAGCTAGCGACGTCTCCTTGCGCCGTTTCCTCTGGGTGAAGGGTTGCCAGGCAATCAGGGAGGTCTCATTGTGCCGTTTCCTCTGGGCGAAGGGTAACCAGGGAGTCCGGGAGGTCGTGTGCTCTTCTGAGATGCCCCCGTTCGGCCCACTGCCGGGCCCAAGCCCATCCCCTGTGGGTATTGCAGAAGGGTACGGGGGACGTGCCAGTCTCTGTCCCCGTGTTGGCTGAGGCCCCACGGACCAGCTGGTGGCAAAGCACTTCTACCTCGGGGGTGACAGGCAGAGACAAACGGATAATCAGAATTCAGAAACAAGGTGATGCAGGCAACGCCCAGGACTGAGAGTTGCACCAAGTGCGTGGTGTATGCAGGACCAGCTCCACACTCCTGGAAAAGACCCTTATGCAGCGGCTTACAGGGTAAAAAGCAGTTCCCAAGCCGAAAGGAAGTGGGAGAGAGCATTTAAGGCCCCAGAGCAGTGCCCTGGTGTTCGCAGGAGACTACTGGCAGTATGTGCTAGGGAGGTCCCAAGGAAGGAAGTGTCAGATGGAGGAAGATCTTACAAGGCATGGGCTGGAGAAGCAGGCAGGAGTGACAGGACAGGATTGGGAACATCAGGTATGGGGGATGAGACCCAGGCTTCAGGCCGGAGCATGCAGTGAAGAAACAGGACGTGCTACAGCCTCAGTCAGCATTCCCAGCCGCACTCGGGCCTCTCTCCGATGCCCAGGCCAGATGTGCTGTGGCTGAGGGGGTGGCAGGGACCTGGGGCTGCTTGGGCCAGGGCAGAGACGCAGCAATCCCACAAAGCTCGGCTGGCGGCAGGGGGACGTGGCAGGTGCAGGAGCCTTTCTCAAGGGTGCAAAGCAGACCTGGAGAACAGGCCGGGTGCTGCACAGGGACGGGCAGATTCAGTCCTGGTTGCTGACACTGACTGGGTTTGCGGTCCTGTGCCCTGGCCAAACGGAGCATTCTAGCAGCAACTGAAGGTATAAAATGGGCACCAATCCCCGGCCATGGGTGCTGGTACGGTGTCCCAGGCAGACCAAGCCTCATGAGAGTGCAAGGGGTGACTGAGCAAAGAGAGCCATAGTGCAGGCCCGGGGAGCTCAGGGAAAGCAAAGGCCCAGAAAGGGGGGTCATATGGGAATCGGAAGCCAAGACAGGGAGATTTTCAAGACAGACTGGATGCCCAGCGCTAGGCAGCTGAGGCCAGCCTGAACTACCTAGCAAGATCCTGATTGTAAAAAAAAGTAGAATCACTCCAGACACCTGCAGGCTGTCGCTGAAAAATGGGAATGAGTGTTTTCTGGGGCAGTATAACCAGGTATTTTCTCGGGTCAGAGTTAGGCATCTACAATGTTGAGCAGAGAGCGCTGTGTCCCTGGGTACCAGACAAGAAAAGCCCACCAGTGTCGTCGTAGGAGGAGGCCCTGACCCATGCAGGGCAGGCAAGGCTGAGCGCCTCCATCCCTGTCCCAGGACCAGCGTTCTTGGTCTGCCCAGGCAGGCAAAGGTGTCGTTACAGGACCACCTCACCTCCTGCCAGCTGTGCAGGGCGGAAGAGCTGGGAGGAAGCCTGGGGGGAGTTGTGCAGGCCCTTCTAAGCGGGTGGCTAGTGACACCTGTACTGGACCGTCTGACAAGAACTCAGCCAGGGGAGGCTTAGGGGATACCGTGTCCTTCAGGGGTGCAGCAAACATGAAAATGCAAAACTGAGAGAGCCAGGAAGGGGCCGGGAGAGGGGAGCAGAGTGAGGGACAGGGTACAGGCCGGGGCCACGGGGGAGGCAGGGCTCATTCTAAGAGCTCCGAGAAGCCACTGAAGGACTACAAATGTGTGAAGGTGACAAGATAAAGTTTACATTTTAAGACTTCTAGCCAGGAGCAGAACATCACGCCGGGCATGGTGGCACATGCTTGTGATTCCGGCACTCAAGAGGCTGAGGCAGGAGGATCATTGGGAGTCTGAGGCTATAATAGTAGTTCAAAGCCAGCCTGGACTATATAGCAAGACCCTGTCTCAAAACAAAAAAATTTAAAAAGAAGATGCGCTGGGGGTCTAGCAGGGCCCTGTGGACACAGCAAGGCCAGTGAGCAGCACAGCGCATGTGAGTGTCCCTGGTTGGAGCTCAACCAGGCATCTGACACGATGCCAGCCTGACTCACACAGTACCGCAGTGCTCCCAACATGCAGGGCTGTTTAGGGCCCCTAAGGTCCCCAAAACCACAGCATACCCCCCACATCGGCTCTCCTACCCCATGAAACCCACCCCTCCCCCCAGGGCGCTTTGTCACCCTGTTGGCCCCCGTGGCCCATCCAGTGCATTGTGGCCAGCACCCAGCCTTAACTGGGCCTGCACCCTGCACAGTGCCGGCCCTGCTGGGATGGAGACCCAGTGCTGTGTCACCTGTGGGCGTGGGAAGGCTAGCCACGCAGGTAGGCAGAGGGGCCACGCCTGGGGCGAGGGTGCACACTTTCATCTTCTGGCCCTGAGAAGAGCACGAGGCACTGTGAGACTGGCGGTGAGGGGAGCAGCACGGGAACTGGGACCTCACTCCAGGGGCATCTGGGGGCCTGCAGGGGTTTTAAGTAGGGGAATTTTGGTTTTAGGATGAAAAGGACAGAGATATTTTCACTAGCAATACTGTCTCTTCTTGTTCTAAAACCACTTTCACTGTTTTGTTTTTTTTTGAGAAAGTGTCTCACTATGAAGTCCAGATAAGCCTTGAACTCACTCTGTAGGCCAGGTTGGCTTCAAGCTCTCAGCAATCTTCCTGCCTCAGCCTCACAAGTGCTGGGATTATAGGTGTGTGTGCCACAGTGCCCAACTATCAATAGCACATTTCTTATGTACAAAGTCACAGTCTAATAAATTGACTGATTCTAAACATCTCCACCGCCCAGTAGGGAAGACCCTTCACAGTGCCCACTTTACAGAGGAGGAACTGAGATGGAGAGGAAGTGACCGGAGCCAGCACACGCAGCCAGGGAGCTGCAAGCCTGGCCTCCAACCCCAAAGCCTCTGCACTCGGAGCACAGGGCTGCCTCCGTGGTCAGACCAGATTCTTGATTGCTGATAAGCGTACAGGAGGGGTGGGCTGGGGCTGTGGCTCAGTGGCAGAGTTCTTGCCTCGCATGCACAAGGCCCTGGGTTCAATCCCAGGGGCTGAGTCAGGCATGGGGATGCTCGCCTATAATCCCAGCACTTGGGAGCCTGAGGCAGGAGGATGGCTACAAGTTTGAGGCCAGCCTAGAATATACAGCAAGGCTCAGTTTTTTAAAAATGAGTACAGGGGTCTCAAGGTGAAGAGTGTTCGATTAGGGAGGTATACAATGCCCTTGATTCCCATGGACGGGAGGGCTGGTCATGTCAAATGGCTATGACAGAGCCCAGCTGGGGACTGGGCCCTGATGCCCATCCTGGTGCTAAACTGCTTCTCTTCCTGGGTCGTTTCTATCCTCTCCGAGGAAGGAGCTCACCTTACCTGTCTTCTCCCAAGGGTTCTACCAGCCTGAGTCTCTGGGGGACAGTGACAGCACTGATGTGGTCCCTGCCTTCGATCCTGAGCCAGTCATCGCCCACTGCTTCAAGCAGTTCAAGCAGGACTTCCGCCTGCCGCAGAGCCGCCGGAGGGTCATCATTGTGCCTGCCCAGCAAGGACAGGCACCTGTGGACCCCACGCCCAGGCCCCCGCCGTCCCTACCACCTGTCTCCAGCCTCAGCAGCCTGGATGGTGGAGGAGAGGGTGGGGACATCCCCGGGCCACTGGAGGACAGGGCGGCCTGGCTTCACCAGAGGGCAAGGCTGCGGAAGGAGCTGGAAGCCCTGGGCGACGTGACGCAGTGGCTGAAGAACAAGCCCAGCATCTCGCCCTTGGAGGCCAAGGTCCTGCGCATGCTCCACAAGGAGCGTGAGGCCCAGCTCACGGGGCAGGTGACGGCCACCGTGGCCACCAAGGTGAATGGCCCCAGCAGGAAGGTGTCACACTGCAGGTTTAAGGACACCTCACCCTTTTGTTTTTGTGGCTTGGTCAGGATGGGGACGCTTCCTCCCCTTTCATAAAGGAGCAAGTGGAAGTCCAAACAGAGAGGTATATTTGTCAGCTACTGCTGCATAACAAATACCCCACAGTGACTGAAAGCAACAAATATGTATTGTTGCACACAGCTGTTTCTGAGGAATAGGAACCTGGGAGCAGCTTAGCTGGATGACTGTGGCTCAGAGCCTTGTGATGTTGGCCTGGAGCCACAGTCATCTACAGCTTGACCAGGGCAGTAGGGTCCACTCACTCCTGTCCAGACTGCCGTGGACAAACCTTAAAGCCACCCCAGGAGGGACATTCCTGGAAGTCTGTGTTATGAGGCATTGGAGCTCGTGTGCCTGGGCCATCGTGAGGATCATAGTTTGGGGCTGGGAACAAAAGGAAGGCCTGCCTGCGCTGGACAAGCACACAGGAGCTCAGAGAAGCTGAGGGTTTATCCCAACCCACAGAGACAGCGACAGAGCCAGGACCAGCTCCTCGGCTCTCTGGGACATCTTGTATGCAGATGCCCAAAACCTCTCTTGTTCTGGGAAAGCTGGCATCAGAGGAAGGTGACTGGGTTAAACACAGATCTGGCTGGGTGTGGTGGTGCACATCTGCGATCCCAGCACTCAGGAGGCTGAGGCAGGAGGATCACTGTGAGTCTGAGGCCAGCCTGGGCTACATAGTGGATTCAAGGCCAACCTGAACTACAAAACAAGACCCTGTCTCAAAAAAATAAAAGTAGAGGGCAGGAGGCTGGACTTCCCCAGCTGCAGCACGGGGTGTGCCTTGGGCACACAGGACACCAGGCCTGTAGATCTTGACTGGTCCCCAGGAGAGAAGTGCAGAGTGTGCTGTCAGCTCGAGTTTTCCGGGTGGCCATTTCCTTGAGCTACCCCAGCTCCAAGGGGCAGTGCTGCGTGCTCTGTAGCCATCACAGGTACCCATGCCGGTGCCTTCTGTCTCCTCCACCCTGGGCTCTGGGCTGCCTGCCTCTCCCCACTTCTCTTTGTCTGACTCTGGGGCTGCTGCCCACTAACCCCTCCTTGCCTCTTCCAGAAAGGAACCCCTCAGCGAGTGGTGCCCCAGCTGCGGCTGCCCAAGCCCCAGGCCCTGTCAGCCCTGTACAGCTACCTGCGTAGCCGCAAGATCCAGGTGCTGGAGCTGTTCGCCAAGGGCCAGGGCATGCAGCAGAGAGTCTCCCGGGAGGAGTTCCTCTCGGCACTCAGGACGGTGAGCACCCTGTGGTCCCTGGCTGCCCCGCACCCCGCTGTCCCGCCATCTCTCCCTGGCTTCTGGGGCAGTGAAGAGCAGACACGGAGCTCAGATTGCCTACTGATGTGCACTGGAAAATGAGGGGGCCTGTGGCCAAACTGGGCCCCAGAACCACCCCCGTACGGGGCAGGGCACATGCCCAATCCTGGCACAGCAGGATGAATAGAGGGTTCGCTGAGCGAACCCCCAAACCAGTCAGCTGTCTGGCGAGTCCCCCGGTCCCTCAAACCCAGCACTGAGCCCAGGGGAGCCGGCCGGCACCCGCTGTCACCGGGTGTCACTCGCACACGGGCCTCACCTCTGACCCAGGTCCTGTGCTGGGCCCGGTGCTGGCTCCACACCACCATTACCCTGCCTGCTCCAGGTGAGGCAAATCCATGAGAAATGAAGTGGGAAATCCTACTCCCCCATGACACCTGTCACGTCCCAAGTGCTCAGTGATCACACACGGCCCCAGCACCGCAGGAAAGGGTAGGTAGGAAGTAAGAGAAGGAGGAGAGGGGAGGAGGGAGGGAGGATCACTGGTGGCAAGTGGTGCCTCCCTTTGCCCAGGCAAGTGTAGGACCTTTCCCCCAAGGCCCTCCAGGCGTCTGTAAACCTCACCTTGGGAGCCCAGCACAGCCTGCCTCCTGTTCTTTTTTAAATAAAGTTTTATTGAAACACAGCCCCACAGTCATCTTCATATTATTGGCATCTATTTTTGTGCTGCAGGGACAGACTGCATGGCTCATAAACAGGAAATATTTCTATGACCACGCACCAACTCCCTCTTGATGACTATAATCACCGTGCGATGCAAATAGGCACAAATAAAAATAAAGATTAAAAGACCCTGAAATACTCACTACATCGTCTTTTATAGGAAAGGCTTGCCAGTCCCTAATTGAGATGAATTAGCCTTGCATATATTTTGAATACAAAATGTCTTTAAAAACCTTTTTTCAGGGCCAGGGGTATAGCTCAGTGGCACAGCACCTGCCTGGTAAGTGCAAGGTCCTGAGTTCGATTCCTGGTACCAGAAACAGAAACAAAGCAAAATACCTTTTTCAAAAACTGGTGCCTAGTGTTTTGCACCTTTAATAAATTATCAGTTTTCTAGCTGAGGATTTTAGCTCAGCGGTAGAAAATTTACATAGTATGTGTGAGGCCCTGGGTTTGATCCCCACCACCACACATAGAAATAACTAAATTCCTGGACACATACTTTAAAGAAAATTAGCAGTTTTCACACGTTTTAGGATATGTAAATACCTGAGGAACACTCTGCAGCATTTCAAATAACAAAAAGACAGTGTTTGATCAACACAGCTAAAAAGATAAAATATTGAATCCTGACCTTACTTAGGGAAAACCCAGGGAGTGACGATTGTCCTCTAAAGAAACAGGCCTGCAGTTCTACCCCCTGCAAGCTTCTCCTCCTGAAGAGTCAGCGTTGCTGACAAACATTATACATCTCAAAGTTGCTTAGAAAAATAAAATGTAGGGGCTGAGGATTTAGCTCAGCGACACAGCGCCTGCCTGGCAAATGCAAGGTCATGAGTTCAATTCCCGGTATCGGAAAAAAAAGAAAAAGAAAAAGAAAGTGTAACGTTTATCCGAAACTGCATATTTTACTGCAGGTAGAGGAGGCTTAGGTGTCCCTCGCGGGCGAGGATGAGAGACATGTGAAATCACCCTTCTTCGTCAGCACTGAGATTGGTAGGGAGCATGACTGACTGTAAAGATGGTGGCAAATCTGTCCTGAGCTTTAAAGGATGGATAGGAGTTTACAGGCGGAAGAAGGGAACTCCCTGTGCGGAGGGCAAGGGGAGGTGCTGGAGATGGGGCCAGAGTGGCCATCCTGGGGCAGACAGAAACCCCAGCCTGGTGGCTTCTGTCCTCTCCAGGTCGGAGTCCCCCTACAGCAGCAGGAGATGGAGGACGTGGTGATCTACCTGAGCTCCCTCGGGAAGCAGCACGAGATCACCATAGAGACCCTGGCCAGCACCTACAAGCAGTGGTCTGTGGCCCAGCAGAGGAGCATACTGCCCACCACCTGCAAGTGTGCGTCCCCTTGCCTCCCTGGCCTGCACAAGCCCAGCGTGTGGTCTGAGGCCTCCTTTATGGATAAAGAGCTAGCGAATGTTTCCTGCTCAGAGATGGAATCGGCACACTTTACAGCCTACTGGTTTGGTGTCCTCCTGGCGGGGCTATACGAACAAAGCTGCTGTGGACAGTTGTTCAGGTTGTCCACAGCTTGAGTCCCATTTGCAAGCCGTGTGCTTGTGGGGCTTCACCTGCCGGGATCCAGCACAGTGGCAGGTTAGAAACGGGCTCCCAAGTGCTCCCAGCGTGAAGCGCCAACACAGGGCGCACCCCCTTCCTTTCTATTTTATTGCCCTTGTGGTAAAACATGCCCACAACCGCCACCACTCTAGCTCTGTCCCCAGCCCACGCACATTTGCTTTTCTAGGTGAAATGCACGCTGTTCTGCCCACATCTGCCAGGCTAGAAGGAACTGAACCTCAGACATGTTGGGGGCCCTTGCCCTCCCTGAGGGGCTCCTTGTGCCCAAGGGCTCATTCACAGATGAGGGGGAGACAGGACTCTGCAGCTCATGGTCCCCAGCAGGAACTCTGTGCAGACCCTGGAGTGGCCTCTGAGGAGAGGAAAGCAGCACCCTTACCCCATTTCCCAGAAGTTTTTTTTTTTTTTTTTTTTTTTT